TTTTTCAGAATGTATGCATTTTGTATATGGATAAATGCATTCAGATATCAATGTCGTCTTGGGCTAGCTACACAGTCCCAGAGCACCCTCATAAGGGGATAGTAAAGCACTTCTGAGTACTCTAAATCTAGAAGACCATGGAAATGATCACTGTTAGTTGTATTGTAGAGAACTGATTGCACATAATTATTACACATCACAACAACACAGCTTATTGTGATGAAAATCAATCTTGTGTTCATACACTCCCCTTCATGTGTAGCCGTGGGATCAGGCACAAACTGATTCCACTTTTTATCAACTGCAAGTTATTATTACCTTCTAAACCTAAACTGTGGTTAAACTTAACTATGGCTTGTTGAAATAATGTAGCTTCAAATCCACAGTTTGTCAATTTTGAATTAACTGGCAAACTACAGTCAAGAACAAAACTTCTTCCTTATAGCTGGAGGAAGGCTGGAAACATACAATATCAAGCCGAGCTATCACTTACTAATGTAATGGTAAATCATGTTTATTGTAACATATGAACACACAGCTATAGGTTTCAATGTGATACATTATCATTGTTTGTGGATAAAGTGATCCTGATTCAAATTCCAGAAACTGAGAATGTAAGAAAAAAACTAAAATACTATCCATGCTAGTTGTTTGGAAGATCCAGAACATCTAATCCTAAAAGCACAGCATTTTGGATAGGTATTATATGACTATTTTGGATTTGTGCTGCAGTTTGACACTTTTTTTCTGAACTTAATTTCCTTTTATCTTAGATTTTTCATGAATAATGCTACTTGATAGCTTATTAAGACTCACTTGCTTTTTAGAACTGTGCATGTCATGACTTGCTATGGAAAAGAAATGAGGTAGTTCAAAAGAACTGTTCCAAGATAAAATATGTAAATAATTTGTACGCATATTTTTGCTTCCAGGAGTTGAATCACACAGGGTAAAACTTGTTTCAGCAGAATATTAAATATAAAACAAGAGTAATTTTCTAAAGCAAATTCTTGCAATTCACTTTGAACTTGACGACTCAGTTTTAGCTGATCACTATGTATGCAATGAACCCCAGTCATTAAGAAAAAAATAATAGTTTCTGTGCCTAGGCCCATAAAGATCAAGTGTCTGTTGGGCCATATTGTGCTGATACTTGTCTTGATGAACTCTTTGCATAATTTTATCATATCACTAGTAACAGAGTGATACATTTGACATATTTAAACAGAAATTATGAACAGCACATGTAGTTTATGAAGGTCACCCCAAAGCCTAATCTGGCATGTCCTCACACTTATCAGTACATATGTTTCTCTCTAATCACTAGCGCTCATTAAGTTTGCTACAACCATGACATCACTATCAAGAACTATTGCAACAAAAGCTAAGGGAGAATGTGAAAGTTAAGAGCTAAAACGCTGACATGTTCTCTTAACCTGATCAGAGAAATTAATGTAGCTCTTAAAATCACACCTGACATTTGGTTTCTGACTTGCAAATCTAGACAATATAAGGACAGCTTAGTTTGAAATTGTCACCACATACAGTACCATCAATGCATCAGGGTAACAAAGCCTTGTAAATGTGTGGCACTGGCAGAAGTTTGGTCTGGACATAAAATAAATTTAAAGTGACAAGAACAATTTGAAATTGGATGTAGCTGGAACTTATGGAAGTAAAGGCTAGATGGAAAGAAGACAATATTCATATTTCTGCCAGTATAGTTCTCTCGTAATCTTGTGATATAAACCGTTGTATAAATATGATTAGACAACTTGAACCTATAATGACTTCTCATATGTTTTGAGGGCAGCTGGAACACATTTAGAACAAATGCTGCTATGGAAGTTGTAGTGAGGTAATCATTTACAAATATGTTGTTCTTTTCATCAGTGCAACAAGCATTTTAACAAACAAAACAATCTTAGAACGTTAGGTACTCATACATATGTAGGCATCCTTTAGTATCGAGACTATGGTAATGTGCTCTGAATAGAAGTCTTGGAACAGCATCTAGTGTGTGGCTGAGAAGGCCAATTCAAGAGTGACAATCCCTTCCACACTGAAGACAAACACAATGTCCCCTGTCCAGCTTTCTGGTTTAGCTGGTTTTGGGATTGCCTCTTTGCCTTGGCTTGCTGAACAAGTGTCCCTTCAAATTGGGAGCAGTCATGCTGCACCGCCTGCCTCCAGGCTGAATGCTCAGATGTCAACATTGCCCATCTGTTGAGGTCCATTCCTAAGGCCTTCAGATTCCACTTGCAGATGTCCCTGTATTGCAACTGTGCTCTCCCTCTGGGACAATTTCCCTGCACTATTTCTCTATACAGGAGATCGTTTGGCTGTATTGCAACTGTGGTCTCCCTCTGGGACAATTTCCCTGTACTATTTCTCTATACAGGAGATCGTTTGGAATCCGACCATCAGACATTCTCACAACATACATAAGCCAACGTAGATGTCACTGTTTCAGTAATGTATACATGCTAAAAACTCCAGTTTGTTCTAGGACTACTCTATTTGGAACTTTGTCCTGCCAGGTACTCATGAGATGGAAAGATAAGCAGCACTGAATTCATGTCTTCCAACAGTAATACAGTCCAAACTTGAACATGGTTCAGACTTGCTACTAGATATTTAGGTGGGTGGGTGACAGAGCAGTGACAGCTTTAAGAATTTTATTTGCCATATATGTTTCAGATTTTGGCCCACTTCCCAAGACCATTTGTAGAAATGGGCTAGTCCATGAAATCATACACCAAATAAAACCTATTTAAATATTAAAAATAACACAGGGTTTTTCCCCTTTTCTGGGGAGGGAGCAGAAAGAAAGTAAACAATTGTTTAAGCCCATTACCACTGGATAAATTCAGTGGTACAGTACAGTGGTGCCTCGCATAGCGAGGTTAATCCGTTCCGGATTAACCTTCGCTATAGCAAAACATCGCTGAACAGGACAGGGAAAGCCATTGGAACGCATTAAACATCGCTTAATGCGTTCCAAAAGGCTCCTCTACTCAGCGTTCAGCGAGGTTTCCTATGGCCGGCAGCCATTTTCGCGCCCTCGTTAAGCGAGGGGAGGGCGCGAAAACGCTGTGGGCGGCCATTTTGAGGCTTCCGGCGGCCATTTTGTCCGCCAAACAGCTGATCGTCGGAGCTTCGTTTTGCGAAGATCGGTAAACGAAACGCTTACCGATCTTCGCAAAGCGAAATTCTCCCTATCTGAAGCTCGCTGAGCAATCTCATTAGCGATCCAAAAAAACGGATCGCTATGCGATTTCGTTATAAGGTGCGCTCGTTAAGCGAGGCACCACTGTATACAGTATTTAGGTTAAACATATTAGGGAGAACTCCAATAAAAACATTGTGTTACTCTGAAGACAAAAAACAATGTGGCACCTCAAAGACTAACTCCTGTATTTTAATGTAAACTTTTGTGGAAAGTTTTCTGAGGAAGTAGATTTGTCCACAAAACTCACATTAAAATACAGTATGCCAGTTAGTTTTTAACATGCCAGAATGCTTTTGTATTTTATTTTTCTTTTGGTTTTGCCTGATATTCTTGTTTTTGTTGTTGTTGCAAGAGACTAACAAGGATACCACCTGGAAATTACTAACACTGTATATCACATGTTTGGGAATTGAATGACTTGCCTAAAGCCTTCACAGAAATGCTTTCTTAGAATATGTTCAAATTGAACTGACACATGGTAAACTGAAAAGAGGATTGCAGCAGACCAAGGAGGGGTACACAATTTTCTTATGGCCTATGGCAGTGGTGGTGAACCTTTTTGGGTTCGCGGGCCCAGCAGGTGGTGTGCCGCCACCATGATGGCAACGAACCCGGACGACTGGAACCGGAAGTGGCGGGTTAAGGGGGAATCATGGCAACAGACCTGGAGGACCTGGAAGTGGCAGCAGAAGGGGTATCCCGGCTGCAGCCACCTCATGAGGTTTGGCTGCACAGGGGGGGCGGGGGAGTAGCGACCTATGGCTCGCGTGCCAGAAGAAAGGGCTCTACATGCCAGCTGTGGCACACGTGCCATAGATTCCCCATCACTGGCCTATGATGTTGATTGTGGATGATCAATGGTTGTATATGTGCACATGAACACAGACATGTTTCAACTCCCCCCTTCCAACAGCTCCAACTAAGATCAGATGTGATCCACTGAGCCTCCCTAGGTGGTCTGGGACCTCCAATTCCCATCCACCACCCTTAGCACATGCAACTGTAAAGAACTGAGGGGGAATTGTAGTGCAAAGCCACTGGGAGGATTACAGATGCCCACACCCATGGAGCAAAACATTTACCGAAGCCCTACCAGCTGACACAAAAAGGGAGGTTCTAATCTTTACTTAAATAATAACCATAGCAATAATGATGATTATTATTTTAAAATATTATTTTTGTTCAACCAGTTAATTATTACTATTATTTAAAAATTGTTATTTTAGTTCAACCAATTAATACTAGCCTGGGTTTACAGGCTAATTTTTAAGTCAGGGCTGAAAGGCATTCACTTTCTTTCTGAGTGTTTTTAACCAATCGACTGGATTTCGAAGCGCTACCCAATCAATCGCCTTCTCCCCGAGAGCTCAGAAATTACGACGGCTAAAATGCAGAGGTGAAAAACTAGGAAGGCCGCAGAGGAGGACACAACTGAGGGAGAGAAGGTCGGCCAAGCCCATGAGGGAGGGAGGGCAAAACTGTGGCTTCCTCCTCCTCCGCCTCCTCACCCCATTTCACAGCCTGAAGGCCAAACCGCGCGTAGACCCAAAAAGGCGTGGCGTCGTGAGCTCACTATGACCGAGCTCATTTCACCAAGCGTCACCTTCCCACCGCGGAGAAGTTATTTAAAAGAGGGACGACGGAAGAAAGAGACGTCCCCTTTCCCGACAGGAGACGAAGGGAAACCGGCCCTTCAGACGACGACGACGCGCTTGAGGGAAAGGGCGCGTATCGAACATTCCCCTCCCTCCCCCCCTCTTCCACTTACACTCGGCCGTCGTGCGCGCGCGCGCTACGGAAGGACGGGTCGCGGAGCGTCCCCACGTGATCTCGCCGCTGCCCAATCCAAGGGAGGCAACAAAGGGAAGGGACGGTGCCTGCCCTAGCGACGCCCAAGGCTTCCACTCCCCCCGCCCAAGAAGCATGCGCGGTGTCAGTCACGGGGATTCGCCTACGTATCCCCAGCCGTCGCCTTCCCCGCTTATCACATAAGTGCCAAGCCCGTCAAAGGCGCAAGGCGTCGGAGTGTCATTCTTAGTGCGTGTCGGGTCGTAACTGGGGATGGCGGAAGCAGTCATCACGTGCTAAGCATGCGTAAATGTAAACAGTGACAGGGCCACTTTTAGGCTGAAGGAAAAGCAGCCCATCAGCGACGGTTAACTCAGCTACTGTATAACTCTCTTGCACTTCCGTGCCTTGCAGCAGATGCTGTACTAGAGAGGCGGAGGGAAACTGCTTAAACGGAAGGCAAAATACGATTCCCTGTTGCTTACTCTTTCCAGACGATAAAGCAAGGAGTGCTTGTTGAAGAGTCACCACGTTCTGTCAGATGCTCACCCAAGTTACCTCCAGCTTGGCAATGTAACCTTTTTTAGACTACAACTCCCATGCAGCAAGGGGGCTTTGTTGTGCCAAAATAATACTTTCTAAATAATAATCGCTGTTACTGTTTTTAGAAATGGAAGGAGCGAGGCGCCTTTTTAGTATCAGAGTTGACAGGAGAGCAGTAGATCTTTTGCTTTAGAGGTATGGGCATCTGTGATGCTTCTGATGGTTTGCACTGCAACTTCCACTGTCCTCTACAGTTGCTTGTACTAACTGGTGGAATTGGATGCCCTGAAACATCTGGAGAGGCACAGTTGGTCACATCCGAATTTAGTTGGGTTCCTCAGAATGGGGGAAGTTAAAGCATACACCTGTCTATGTATAACCGTGCTCAGCCAATATCAGCTGCACGCAGCTCACAGGTCTGAGAAGGTTGTGTACCCTTTATTGGTCTAATGCAATCCTCCAGAACGGTTACATTTCCAAATTCTGGTTATCTCCCTACCCTGCCACCATTGAGTATTTTCAGTGGGATTGATGGGACCTGGAGTCGAACAACATGAGGACGGCCACAACTTGCCGACTTCCATTCTTCCATTCAGAATTAGACAAGTTATATCAATTTATCTAATCGCTTTTTTCTCCCTCTGGATGATTTCATTGACTTGTACACCATCTTTTTCTTTGATCTCCAAAGCAGGAAGGATTGGGTCTAGCAAAACTGGCCAGATGGAATTAGAGAACAAATGGAAGCACTCAGTGATCTGGTATTTGGACAACTGAACCCAATGATCATTTTGCTGTCCAAAAGAGTAATTTAAATGAATGGACAAGAGCATGAAGTTGCTTTATCTGACCTTGTATCCAAGAGGGTGAGCAAGCAAGCAAGGTAGCTTTTGCTCATGCAAAGAGGATGTAGGAAGAGCAAAACAGAAGATATAGGTGTGGCAAGTGTCTTCTCTTGTGGCTGCATTCTCTGCATAGAAGAAGTGACATGAGGGAAAGAACATGCATTCCAAAGGGCTTCCTGCAGAACAGCCGAAGGTAAGGTGCTACTCACTGTTTGGTTAGTTCTTTTCTCACCAAGAATATCTACCAATTGGCAACTCTTCTCTCAGAATCAAAGAGGTGTTCCATAAATTACTAAGTAGTTTAGGTAAAACCCTTTCTGAATTCAACAGAACCTGGGTCCAAGTACATGTGAATAACCAGAGCACAGAGTGCTGTCTTCTGAAGATGCCGGCCACAGAGACTGGTGAAACGTTAGGAAGAACAACCTTCAGAACACGGCCAAAGAGCCCGAAAAACCCACAAAAACCATTACATGTGAATAAGACTGTACTGTACAGAAGAAGAGAGACACACACCACCAAAGGAACACAGGACATATTTTGAGAGAAATTACGGCATATGCATGATGATCAATTTTTTCAAAATCAAGACTGCTTTTATGTTTCACTTATCTCCAGATGAATACAACTGAAGAGCAGTGGTGGCAAAATAAATGTTTTCTTTAAAGGGGACAGAAAGGTCACAGTACATTTCTGAAGAGGTGAGTTTGATTTTATACCTCAGATTTCTGAAGAAGAAAAAAGAGGGAACTGACATGAGGACTTCATCTCTCCTATATCTACTTTTGTCACACCCTATACCTAAAAATTGTCAGTGTTTTCTTTTCTCCTAAAAAAATCAGTTCTGCCTCTGTTTTTAGGAACAACAAAACATACCGAGGTTTAACAAGTGACATTCTTCTTAGTCCCTACACATAAGTCTTGCTGCATCAGGCAAATGAGTCCATGCTATTTGAATGCCTCAGAGTTCCCACCCTCATTCCAGTAAAACCTTCAGATTGTTGTTCAAAGCACAGGCACTGGGAGTGGCCACCCAGCTGGCAGGACTTTTCTACCACAACATATAACACTTTCTTATAGTTTTAAGCAGAGTCAGTTTTACTTCTCTGTAAATATGCAGCTATGGACCTATCAGCTGAGCTTAAGAGGGACAGCAGATGTTTTTGCCCTTTGTCTCCATCTTACTTTCCCCTCAACTTCATCTTTACAAATGGAAAACGGGGGTGGAGGAAATCTTCTTTTAAAGAAATGTTGCACGTTGCCCAAAGATCTACAGTGCCTTCATAGTTTTTTTTAATGTTTCCAGTTATGGCTGGAAGAACGTAAACGATTGTTCAAGCCATCACCATAGGATAAACTCAGAGGTTGATTTAGGTTAAATATGGTAGGGAGAAATACTAGTTAGCAAAATCAATACAGAACCTTGTGTCACCCTAAAGACTTCACAAGTTTTATTCGAAATTGTTAATCTTTAAAATGCCACAAGATTTCATCTTGCTTTTTGTTGCAAGAGATTAGCAAGGCGATCACCTGAAAATGACTGACTATATTAAATGTTTGGCAGTAGAATGACTGACAAAAAATATTGTAGCAATGCTTTCTTGGAGTATAGTCAAAGGAAGATTGAATTAGTAGATCGGAAAGAACTAGTAGATTATACTAAGGAAGGGTCAGTAACCTTCTTAGGCTGAAAACTGCAGCTAATGTTGGTTGGGGTGGTCAATGGCTGTATGTGTGTGTACATGCACACTCAAGTGTGTGTTCCTCCCTTTTTCAAGGCTCTGCCCAGGATTAGGAGTGAGCAACTGCACCTCTCCAGATGCTTTGTGGCTTCCAGTTCTCATGCTCTGTGGTTAGTATAACCAACAATAAAAGACTGTGGGAGCTGCAGTGCAAAGCCATCTGGAGGACCAAGTTTCCGACTCCCCTGAAGTAGATGATCGATTGAGCCCCTAACAACTCTGGCACTAAACAGGGGTTCTAATCCTTACAATCAGCAAGAAACCTTACATTATTAATGTGCAACTGAAAAGCAAAGAAACAAAGGAAATGCCGATGTAGAAATGATATCTTCTGAGGCAAAGTAACACTACTAATTTTGAATATGTGCAGCTGTGTTTCTAACTTCCTACATACATATTTATTTATTTATTTACAATATTTTTTAGCCGCACCATTGCCAGTGGCTTCTGGCAGAAATCCTTTCAGTGATTTCTGACAGAAATCACTGCAGTTGGCAGTAACATTTATATAAGTGATAGACCTTAAGCAATGCTCTTTAATTACTACAGTATTTGCAAAACTCTTTGCATTGGCAGTTGCACATTAAGGCAGTTGCTGCAGATTCTACTAGTTTGCTATAGTCTTTTAAAAAAGAAATAATACTATATGTTTGTGATAGGTGCTGTTCTATATTGTAATTTAGACTTGTATGTTAGATATTGTTTCAGAAAGACTTAATTACTCACTTCTATTACTTCTTGTTGAAAATAGATACAATTGTCTTTTACATTTTCCTCCATTAATAGGCTACTTATTGCCAGACCACCTGGCAAGAAATTGTTCTCCCTTTCCTGATTTTAATTAAAACCATGGCTGTGGTAGTTCTTAGGAAATGCAGCTAAATACAGGCTGGTAGTTTTGCAATGTTTTCTCATCCTTTTTTAAAAGATGTCCTGGATACCTCATCTTTTCTGGTCAGCTAAGCAATTAAACCTCATTCTGAATCTCTATTGATGTTCCTTTGCAACTTTATTTTATTTTGATTCCTAGTCTTGTTTTCTTTCCTAGTGCATTTTTCCTAGCTGCCTCTTTGCCACATGCTTCATGTTGTATGCTATTCAAAGAACAGCCATGCCTGCTCCTGTTCTAATTACAGTGGTGCCTCGCAAGACAAATGTAATTCATTCTGCGAGTAGTGCTGTCTTGCGAAATTTTTGTCTTGCGAAAAACTATTTCCCATAGCAATGCATTGCAATGCTTTCCTATTGGAACCTCGCAAGACGAAAATAATTCATTCGTCTTGTGAGGCATCCGTCTTGGGAAAAATATTTGTCTTGCGAAGCATGGCCGTAGAAGAAGCTGTCTTGCGAGGCACCACAGCGATCGCAAAAGTCATTCATCTTGCGGGTTTTTGTCCCGCGAGACGTTCGTCTTGCGAGGCACCACTGTATTGGAGTGTTTGCTGAATTTGGAGAATACCTTAAGATTGTTCTTAATAGCATATTTTGCAGTGCTACACCAGGCTTGGACACAGTTACATTTGCTGAGTTTGTAAAAACTTCAAAGGAAGTTGTAACAGAACAATGAGGAAACCTTGAAAATACAGTTGTGCTGAGTTTAAAAATAGATATGGGAAAGTCAAATAGTGTTGAAATTGTTTTCTTTTTGTGTAAAATAAAACTGCACACAATTTTGATATGTAAAAGATAAAAATTAAAAGCCTTGTTTAAAAACAACAAGGTGGGACAGGAATTCATATGATCAAAAGGGGTGGGACATACTTGTTCAAATGCTTATGCAAGGGCAACCAATTTAACATTTATTTGGTATTGGTTTGGATAAATGTTTTCTGCACAATATGAAAGACAAAGTAGGGTACTATGCAGATTTTCCATGCTATTTATTAGAAATTAAAGTTAGTGCAGATATATCAACCCACTTTTTAGTATCTATATAAATATACATACAGTAGTATATATACAAATTTACTTTACACACATGGGGGGGGGACCTGAATATATGCATTATCTGTCCATGGAATTCTGGGGAACTAGAATGGAGGCCAAATCCCAGAAAAGAAGCCCTCCTAATTACACTGCAACATTTTCTTGTAGGCTCCACTGGTCAGTCCCTAACTGAACATTCTGCATAGCTGTTACATGCTTTTACATGATTATAATACTAACAAGTATTCTTTTAAAGAAATGTGTGAATAGCAGTATTGTCTCCTAAGACTTAGTTAAAAGAATGATATGCCCTCCATCATCAAGGTATAATATGAATCATATAATGTACAACCAGAATTGTGTGTATAAAAGCCTCTTGTGTGATACAGCTCAGGCATTTGTAGAAAACGCTAGTCATTTACCCAAATGTGTAATGGAATTTGTATGAAAAATGTATTTCACCTCTCCAAAAACATCATACAGTTCAGAATACAAGAGGCTTCATTCCTAGAAAT